CGAGGTCGTAAAATAACACAAGAACTTCTTTTAAAAATAATCGAAGAGATTGAATGTAATCATAAAGAGTGAAAATTATTGGAGGAGAAAGATGATAATGATCCCGCACTTCCACTTTTTGTTTTTAAGCATAAATCAGGAAAAAGTCACTATATGGCAAGACATCCGGGGGGGCAGTTAATAAATTGCATTGTTGGAAATAAAGAACTTGAAAAGAAATGAGGTGAATTTTTAAACCTTATTTCTTCAAATAATCCTCCTCTACAAAACAAACCAGACGATTATAATACAGATCCATCAACTGATCCACAATCTCAACGAGAAGCAGAAAAGTCCCAGTTAGAAATTTCTAGTCAGGACAAAGGGGCAGGAGGCATAAATCTAAAAGAAATAGCAAAAGAAATAAACCAAGGAACTACTTCTGATGAAGAAAACCAACCAGCACCCAAAGAAAACCAACAAAATCAACTCCAAAAGACGGATAATAAAGATAACAAAAATGTTTACTATGGAATTGGAGCAATTTCTCTGGTGCTACTGGTGATAGGTATGGTGGGTGTGTGAGTAAAAAATAGATAGATGAAAAGAAATTGAAATGGAAGTTCAAATAGAAGTAAGTAATCCAAACTAATCATGGTTAACAAGCATCTTGCAGCAGCATGAATAAAAGGAGATAGATGAAAAGAAAAAAACGCGGGGAGTTAATAAATACTCCCCAACAAAATTAAATAATTACAAAGTAAAATTAAATCTAAAAATAATATGGTAAACGCTCAAACATGGCTAACAGATAGTTACAAAAACGAAACAACCGCAATAAGAATTAGTAAAGGCACAGAATTAGAAGGAGTATTAGAAATTAAGGATTATCCCCAACTAAAAGAAATTTTTTTGGGTGGGGCTAAGGGAATAACCGAATTAAAAATCATTAATTGTCCGGCTGTTGAAACACTTTTTGTATCCGACAATCAGATTACTAAAATAGAGGGATTGACTGACTTATCTAAACTGAAAAAATTGAGTTTTGGAGGTAATAAGTTAGAGGAAATTGACATTAGCAAAAATACTGAATTAGAAATGCTTTATTTTCGCGACAATCCAACCGCTCTCAAATTTGCTAATGGCATAAAAAATCTCTCTAAATTAATCAGTTGAGATAGTTATCAAACTTTTCCTTTGACGAAAATATTGGATCAGGCTAATGAAGAAGAATTAAAAGAAATAGCAAAAGAATTGGGATTAGACGGAGAAGGAAAAAGTTTAGATGAAATCAAACAGGCGATTAAAGACGAATTAGACAAAAATAAGCAAAATAAGGAAAAATTAGAGCAAGAATTACCGGGTCTATTTGGCACCGATGGTAAAGTGGATGAAAGTAAGTTGGGAGAAATAAAAGATAAGGCGGAAAAAGGCAATAACTATGACGATTTAGTAGAAAAAAATCCCGACCTGATTGTGGATGGCAAAATCGATCAAAGTAAACTTAATGATCTGAATGATAAAGGGAAAAAATTTGATGATTTGAAAAACACTATGGACGCAATTGGAATAGATCCTAATAATGTTGCCGATGCTACCAAAAATATTAAAGAATTAAAGGCGCTGGAAGAAAGTGTGATAGCCTATTTTGGCAAAGATTACAAAGAGCGATTGAAAGTGGAAACTTACCAGGCTTACATAGAAGTAAATGCTAATAAAAACTAATAACAATATGACAGAAGCACAAAATTGACTAGATACCACCTATCAGGATAAAAGTATTAAGAAAATAGAATTGTATGATGAGAACCGAAAAGCCAAAGCAATGGAAGAATTGACAGGGGAATTAGTAATTAAAGACTATACGGAGTTGGAAGAAATTGATTTTAAAAGATGGGACAAAAAGGTTAAGGATAAAATAACGAAAGTAACCATTGAAAATTGTCCTAAAGTAAAAAATATTAATTTTGATAATAGCGAAACTACTGAGATTATTTTCCAAGGTTCTTTTCCTAATTTAGCGCGGTTGGATTTGCCGGACAATAAATTGACTAAAATCGACGTTAGCAAACTGCCTAACCTAACCAATCTAAATATTGCCCGAAATCCTAATCTTACGGAAATAACAGGTTGAGAAAATTTGACTAAATTAGAGATAGTTAACTCAATTAGCACTCCCGGACTTAATGGCAAAAAGTTTAAGGAATGAAAAGAAGCCATTAATTCCGCATTGGGTTCGACTTCTGATGACCCTTTGCCGAACGATTGAAAAAATAAATTAGATGACTTAAAAAACCGACCGACCCAAGAGGATTTAAACAAAGCAGCAAAAGACGCAGAAGACAAAGCGGTAAAAAATACAGAGGACAAGTTCAAAGATTACATTAATCCGAACGACCCCACTCAGAAAGACAAATTGGAAGCAGCGGCCAAAAATCAAGGCATGGTTCCTAAAAATGAATTTGAGGGAATTAAGAATGATTTAGATAAGTGAAAGGATAAATTTCCTAACCAAACCCCAGAGCAAGTTGAAAAAGATATAAAAGAGGCACAATCTCAGCCAGCCACAGGGACAGTTCCTTCTGCTGAACAACAGCAGAAAATTGATAATTTAATAAAAATAATAGAAAAGCAGAACGAAGCGATTAAAAAATATGGTGATGAGTTAGACGATTATCAACCAGAAATTAGGGATGAATGACAAGCTGAAATTGTAGACGTTTCGAAATTAAAATAATTAATTATTAATAATAAATAAATCAAAATAAATCATATGACTGACGCACAAACGCATATAGACGGAAAATTTCCAGCAACGGAAGCAAAAATAGAAGTTGAGAAAGTAAATACCGGTGATAACGGAAAAGACAAAATACTCACTAAATTAAAAGGAAAATTAATAATTAAAAACCGTCAGAATTTGACGGAAATTAAATTTGAAGATCATGAATTAGAGGAGTTGGAAATTATTAATTGCCCAAACTTAACAAAAATTAATGTTGGAAAAAACAAGTTAACTAAATTAGATATCACTAAAATAAAAACTACCGATGGCACTGACGCTGGAGACGCGGCTCCGGCAGACAAATTAACAGAATTAAGGATGGCTAATAATGCCGACCTTGAAGAAGCTTCGTTGGAATATTGTCCAAAACTAAAAACACTTTTGGCTACAGGCTGTACCAAACTCAAAAAAATTACAGGATTAGATAATTTAAAAGAAATCAGGACAGTTGCTGGCGTAGACCATCTAATAAGTTACATTGTTTCTGAAAAATTGGATTATTATAAAGAAGTAGTAAAATATATTCGAGAAACCTTGGGCTTGAGTAATGATAAACCTTTGCCAAAAAAACCTGATGGAAGTTTAGACAAAGACAAATTAAAAACCGACATGGAAAACAAAATTGCTGGTAGTGCTAATAGCGAAAGGGACCAAGCCAAGCAAGAAGCCCAAACTGCCAAAGCAGAATTGACTACTGCAAAAGCTGAAAAAACTAATTTAGAAAATCAATTAAACGCTATAAAAACCGAATTAGGAGTGGGTAATAATGCTAATCAACAGCAAATTGTTGCTAAAATTAAAGAATTAATGGGTCGACCGACCAGCACCCATACTGATTATGACGCCATTAAGTCCGAAAGAGATAATTTAAAAACTGAAAGGGACACACTAAAAACTGAAAACGCCCGATTAAAAAATGATAACAAAGAGAATGTTAACCCTAATACTTTAAGAGACAATACTAAAACTAACTTGGAAAAATGAGGAATTAAAATGTCCGAAGAACAGAAAAAAACTCTACAAAATGCCACTTCCTCTCAAAAAGTTGAGGAGGCTAGAAATAGCATAATTAGTGGTGAAATAAATAAATT